CTTTTATTCTCCTGTGTTTGCACTGTTCACAATGAGTGTTCACCTTTTTCAGTTTTTTTTCTTTTTTTCTTTTGCAAAAACCGGAGCTTTTTAAAAATCAGCTACGTTATCATCTGCAGTAAAATGCACCTGTTTTAAGGGAGTGCCTCTGTGAATCCTGGACACGCTTCTCCCACCACAGCCAAGAGGCGGGACATCCTCATCACCCCAGACAGAGCTTTCCCGGCCGGCTCCCGCCGCCCCACCCCGGCCACAGGCCACCTCTCACCTGCTTTCTGCCACCGGACGCATCACGTTAGTCTTTTCCGGTCTCGCGTGGACGACACTGGACCCCAGGTACACTTTCGTGGCCGGCTTCTCTCGCTCAACACGTGTTGAGGGTGGTTCATCCCGTGGCGCCAGCCCACACCTGATCGTTGCTGAGGCTCGTCCCTTGCGCGGGCGTGCTGCAATTTGTGGAACACGTGGGTTGTGTCCGGGTCTCTCTGCCCTCGTGAATACAGCTGCCGTGAATCGTGGGGACATGTTCGGGGGCTTTTGAGCGGAGACCCAGGAGCCCAGCTGCCGCGCCCCGGGTCAGTGCGCGTTTCGCTTTACAAGAACCTGCCATGCGGTTCAAGAACCGCCAGCAGCGCGTGAGGGCGTTCCCAAAGCCCGGTACCGGTGGTGGCCTTCGTGCGAGCGGTTCTGGAGGGTGCGCCGAGGTCTCCCGTGGTTTCACCTCGCCCTTCCCTGGTGGCCAGTGGTGTCTCGCACCTTCTCCACGTGAACTGCCCGCCTGCCGTCTTCTGCCCATTTTTAAATTCAGTCGATGGTTGTGTTGTTCCTGAATTGTGTTTCGCACGTTCTGGACACGAGTCCTTTGTCAGTTACCAGTGTGACACGTGTTACCTCCCACTCTGTGGCTTGCTGTTTTGAAGATTGGGTTTTGTTTTTTTCTTCTTTGACGGCTTTGAGATAGAATTCTAAATCGTGTCTCTAGAGTATAATTTTTAGGTCCTTTTTTCTTTTCTGGCGCAGGCTTTTGTTGTTGTAGCTAAGAAATCTTTACCCCCTCTGAGGCTGTGATGATTTTCTCCGATGTCTCTTCCGGGATTTTTATGGCTTTAGCTTACTTTTCGGTCTACGACCTGTTCCACCTCCGTCTCTGTGTGCGGTGTTCGCTAAGGGTAAGCCCTCCCCCTGTTATCTTAGTAATAAAACACACAGAGCTGCACTTTGAAAGACCAGGTCACAAACCAAGCCCGAAAGGTCACTGATTCCCCGGTGTTGCTCTGTTAACGAGATCGCTGTGGTATAAAGGTCAGGGTCTGTGGTCTCTTGTGCAAATGTATTCCAGCTGGCAGGACCCGGACATACACTTCTGTTATGTCCACTTGTGATGCTTCCTCCCTACACTTAGCTCTGGTTCATGCCAACACACAGTAGGACCTCACACACTGAGCAGGGGGCGGGGAGGCACCGAGATGAAACGGGGTAGAAATGTTCCCATTCAGAGCAGACGCAAGGGCCAGGTACTTGGCTCTCAGATCGGCTTGGCTGAATACGCCAAAGTCACTTCTGCAAGAAACGTTTCCCTGCTGACCTGCCCCAGTGTCGTATCCCCAGCGTTAAGAATCACAGGGGACTCGGGGCGCCTGGGGGGCTCAGTCGGTTGAGCATCTGAGTTCAGCTCAGGTCATGATCTCACGGTTCGTGGGTTCGAGCCCCACGTCAGGCTCTGTGCTGACAGCTCGGAGCCTGGAGCCCGCTTCTGATTCTGTGTCTCCCACCCTCTCTGCCCCTCCCCCGCTGGTGCTCTGTTTCTGTCTCTGTCTCTCTCTCTCTCTCTCAAAAACAAATAAACATAAAAGAATTAAAAAATTAAAACAAACATAAAAAAAGTAAGTGAAACATGAAAAATTAAACATAAAAAATTAAAATAAACATTAAAAAATTAAAATAAACAATTTAAATATAAAAAAACAAAAAAATTAAACATAAAAAAAATTTTTTTTTTTAATTTTTTTTTCCAACGTTTATTTATTTTTGGGACAGAGAGAGACAGAGCATGAACGGGGGAGGGGCAGAGAGAGAGGGAGACACAGAATCGGAAACAGGCTCCAGGCTCCGAGCCATCAGCCCAGAGCCCGACGCGGGGCTCGAACTCACGCGAGATCACGCGAGATCTCGCGAGATCGTGCCCTGGCTGAAGTCGGACGCTCAACCCACTGCGCCACCCAGGCGCCCCTAAAAAAATTTTAAAAAAAAAGAACCACAGGAGACTATTAACTACAGAAAACCAACGGATGGTCACCGGAGGAGAGGTGGGTGAGGGACAGGGGACAAGGGGGCGGAGATCAGGGAGAGCACTTGCCAGGATGGGACGAGCTGATAGAAAGGCCAAGTCTACAGGTGTCTTGTTCTCCGTACCTTGCATCAGCCATGGGAAGCAGTAAGACTGGGGCGGTGAGAGCGTGCATGCGTGTGAAATCTGTGTGCAGGTGTGCAGAGTAGACCCCTACTTTAAGAGTGATTTCTGGGGCGCCTGGGTGGCTCGGTCGGCTGAGCGTCCAACTTCGGCTCAGGTCATGATCTCGCAGTTCGTGGGTTCGAGCCCCGCGTCGGGCTCTGTGCCTGCAGCCTGTTGGGATTCTGTGTCTCCCTCTCTCTCTGCCCCTCCCCTGCTCACACTCTGTCTCTTTCTCTCAAAAATAAATAAACATAAAAAAATTTTTGAAGGGTGATTTCTAAAGGGGTTTCTTCAAATCAGCCTTAAAAAAAAAAAAAAAGAATCACAGAGGAAGCAAAGTGTGAATTAAGTGAAATCCCCTGTGGAAATGCGCAGAGCCTGGGAGGGAGGCCCTGGTTTCTTGATCAGATCCGTCAGCTCAGCTACTTCCTCGGAAACTCGAGCCCCGAGGGCCAGAGGACACTGAGGAAGACTGGAAGACTGGGAGGTTCTAGAACAGAGCCTGGCGCTCCTGAACTGCAGTCAAATTTACTGACCTCAGAATTGGAATTCAGGGTCTAAGAAAAGACACAGTTGTGTGATTTATGACATTTGTTAAGAGGAAAAATTTGACAATGACTCAGCATGAGTCAGACCTAACTGTCTGCGTTCAGTCTGCCGCGGAGCATCCTGGGTACCTCCCGCCGCGTCTGTCAACTCTGAGTGGCGGGCCAGGGAGCAGAGTCTGTGGGGAGGGCATCTGCGGAATCCCCTAAGTATCCAGGGTCACGGGGGCCACTGGGAGGCAGGATGTAGACCTCACCCCCACTCAGTCGGCGGAGCGAGTTGGCAAATGACTTCTGGGTAACGGGCACCCCTTAAGAAAATCTGCCCCAGGGCAGAGGAGGCGCCCCCTTCCTGGCCCCCACCCGCTTCCTTCAATCCCCGTCCCCTGCCTCCAGCTTTGCCCTTCTACTCGACTCCCAGGCAGGACACAAATTACGTACTGAGACAAATACGGTTTATTTATCAAAATGAGAACAAAATCCCCGTAACTCTGCAAGATCGAGTTACATCACCAAAGTCGTCTGTCCAGTGGAGTAAGTGCCGGCAACACTTAGTGCAAGAGTCAAGACAGCCAGGCAGGTTTCACAATCCAGAGTGCTCTGTGCTTCTGGCCGCTCAGTAGTAGTTCTTCAGGAGAGACAACACCTTACAGATCTTTCCTGTAACTTCCAGAAAGGTCAGCCAGCCAGACTTGGGTTCGAACTTCCTTACAAAGCCGTTTTCCTGTTGGAAAATAAATTTCACATTTTAAAAACCAGGGGCGACAGTTTACTGGGATGGAGAGCAAAGGACCCCCACTTAACAGGCAGCTCCTTGGTCACCTCTGCGCCCGCACTGGCGTCGCTCCGTCCACTGCATCACCGCCCCGCAGCCCTGCTCCGGGCCTCTCCGGGGCAGCGCTGACCAACAGAGGTACGGTGAGAGCCACAGAAGGAAGTTTAAGGTTCCACCGGCCACATTTTTTAATTTTTTATTTTCTGTTTAAGTTTATTTCTTTATTTTAAGAGAGAGAGAGAGAGAGAGAGAGAGAGAGAGAGAGAGAGAGCGCGAGCAGGGGAAGGGCAGAGAGAGGGAAAGAGAGAATCACAAGCAGGTTCCGCACTGTCGGCACAGAGTCTGATGTGGGGCTCGAACCCACAGATAGTGAGATGGTGACCTGAGCCAAAATCAAGAGTGGGGCACTCAACGGACTGAGCCACCCAGGTGCCCCTAGCCACACTTTTTACTTTTTTAGTTAAAATGTTGATTCATTTCAAATGTTTATTTATTTTTAAGAGAGAGACACAGAGCATGAGCATGGGAGGGGCAGAGAGAGAGGGAGACACGGGATCAGAGGCAGGATCCAGGCTCTGAGCTGTCGACGTGGGGCTCGGACCCATGAACAGTGAGATCATGACTTGAGCCCAAGTCGGACGCTCAACTGACTGAGCCCCCCAGATGCCCCACCCCTCCCCCCCCACATCTTTTAAAGTAAGAGAAAATACGTAAAATTAATTTTAAAAATAGATTTAATTTATCTAAAATACTATGATTTCAGTATGTAATCAGTATGAAAATTCTTGAGATATTTTATATCTTTTGTACCAAAACTTTGCAATTTGACATGCGTTTTGTACTCACAACCCATCTGCACCGAGACCAGCCACGTTGTGAGTGTTCACGGCCATAGGTGCCTCGTGGCTACCATACTGGACGCACAGCTCTGGAGGAAGGTCTCATTTTTTCCCCTCTTTTTCAACTGTCTGGTGTTGCGATGTGCATGTATGTTTGTAAGCGGTACTGTGCAGAGTCAGGAGGACCCACAATAAAGCCAGAGTCAGTCGGTGCCTCTGAGCCTGTGACAAGGTGGCTTCCCGAGCAGGGCCAGCGCACAGACGGCGGTCAAGGGGATTTTCCATCCGAAGGATTGCCCAAGAAAACCAGGATTCATTCTCTTTTTGATCGTGGTTTTAAAACAATAGATTGTGAAGTGCCCACTGTAATTTATGACCTATCATTACAGGGCATCCTTACGGCAAAACACCTCTGAGATCGCCCAGCCTAATGCCCTCTGTTATCCTGACAAATGCGAAAAAAGTAAGCTACCTAAAGTTACCTGACTTCCTAGCGCCTGGGCCCGTACGGGAACGCCAACGCTGTTCTTTCGTTCTGCAAGTGTCCAAACAATCACCCAGAGGATTAGAAAATTGTCGGAATGATTTTTTTAAATGTTCGTCTAGTGAACATTCGCTCTGCCTCCGGCAGGTTCCAGGTTCTGGGGTGACAACCGCCTGCTAGCAGCTCGGAGCCCAGGTGACTCCACTTTGGGGCTGGAAGAGACTTGTTATCCGGTGCCCGGGGCCTCTTCCCGAGCACGGCCAGCGCACAGACGGCGGTCAAGGGGATTTTCCATCCGAAGGATTGCCCAAGAAAGCCGGCTTCTGTCCCCATAGTGTCAAGTACAGAGTTGCAAAGTCATGCCCAGCACACGCTGTCACGGCCTAACGGAGGGAACAGGCTGCTCCTTCTCTCCCCTTCCTCCCCCTCCGCCTTTGCACACGCACACGTTTCCCACGCGCCCTCACCGCCTCCCTTCCCAGGATCTTCGTAACCCTCAGCAACGAGGCACTCTCCAACGACCGCTTTTGCTCGGACAGCGGTCACTGTTTGGCACGTAGCATACCATCTGACATACACTCAACTTCTCAACTAAAGAGCGTGAAAAAAAGGAGTAACTGACAAATCCAGCTAGAAGATTAGAGGTTGGGGCGCTTGGGTGGCTCTGTCGGTCGAATGTCTGACTTGGGCTCAGGTCATGATCTCACGGTTCGTGGGTTCGAGCCCCACGTCGGGCTCTATGCTGACAGCTCAGAGCCTGGAACCTGCCTCAGATTCTGTGTCTTCCTCTCTCTCTGCCCCTCCTCTACTCGTGCTCTGTCTCTCTATCAACAAATAAGCGTTAAAAAAAAAAAAAAGATTAGAGGTTTTTTAGCCATAAAAAGCTAAATTAAAAGAAGGAGAGAATTCACAGTAGCTAAAACATGGAAGCAACACCAGCACCCCTCAGCTGAGGAATGGGTCACCGAAACGTGGTCTATACATACACCAGAATACTACTCAGCCTTAAAAAGGAAGGACGTTCTGACACCTGCCACAACGTGGATGAACCTTCAGGACACGAGGCTCAGTGAGCTAAGCAAGTCACGAGAAGACAAATACTGTTTAACCCCATCTACGCAAAGTGGTCACAATAGTCAAACCCATAAAGACAGAAAGTAGGGTGGTGGATACCACGATCCGGGGTCGGGGGGTGCAGAGTCCTGGGGGTGGATCCTGGTGACGTCCCACAACAGTGCGACTATTTAATACTGTTGATGTGCACGCTTAGAAATGGTTAAGCCCAGGGGCGCCTGGGTGGCTCAGTCGGTTAAGCGTCCGACTTCAGCTCAGGTCACGATCTCGCAGTCCGTGAGTTCGAGCCCCGCGTCGGGCTCTGGGCTAATGGCTTAGAGCCTGGAGCCTGCTTCGGATTCTGTGTCTCCCTCTCTCTCTGCCCCTCCCCCATTCATGCTCTGTCTCTCTGTCTCAAAAATAAAAAAAATTAAAAAAAAGAAATGGTTAAGCCCGTACCTTTTACGTTACGTGTATTTTAACAGAATAATAATTAAAAAAAAAAAAAAAACAGAAAAGAACTGACCAGGAAAATATTTACATTTATCATGAAAGGGCTCATTCAAGGGTAAGAGACTCATCATCGAGCCCCTAAGAGTTGAGAAGACAAGGGCTATTGAAAGCAGAAACACGAATCACGCACAAGGGTGTGGGGGAAAATTCAACATTACCGGCAGTTAAAGAATTCACATTGTAATATGGTCTTACTGATTTTTAGACCTGTTAAGTTGACCTTGTTATTTTGAGTCTTGTGAAATCCCCCAAATTATTTTTACTGGTCCTGCCCCCTGGCTGGTGGGGTTGTTGGGTCGTCCCTCCATTGATAGAGCGCTTTCGGGAGGCAGTACGCATTCTGGGAGCAGTGCGATGGGCCATCCATCATTAAGACACCGATCAAGAGGCGGCCTGCTCAGCGATGGGGCGGAAAACCCACCCGGGGCCAGTCTTGAAGCATTGTTTCCAAGAAGGAAGACAACCCAAATGTCTAACAGTTCGGAACTGGTAAAGTAATTGTGACGCATAAAATTGGGAGATATTCTGTAGACGTTACAAGTGTTGGTGTGCAATACATTAGGCAGGTGATCTCAAAGGAGAAAACTCACGTTCCTCAATCGTCCTTGCACAGGACACGCGCACGCAGATGGTTACAGTGGCAGGAGAGAGGTTTCCTCTTTCAAAAACTTGTTTCCAGTGACACTATTTGCATCTTAAAACCATTATATGAAACTCGAGAAACAGGGATTCGATATCTTGTCCGTAATGTGGGAATAAAGAAGGAGCACACAGATCTGGTTCTTTCCAGGAATAGTTCATTAGATTCAGGTACCGTAGCTTCAGAAAAGCCTATGCCGTAAAATAACGTTCTGCATCAATAATGCAAAGAACCCCAGATCCTCAGAATGTTTGACATCTAGGAAGACACCAACGTTATCCCCGCGTTTCCCTGGCGATTATTCACTACGTGTACTCATCCGACAAACGTTTACTGAGCTTCGGCCACATGCCAGGTGCTGTTTGAAGCGCTGAAAACAAACTGGTGAACTAAACACGCAGGACCCCTGGCCTCACGAAGCTTGAGTTCTGGTCACAGAGAAAGACAAGGAACGGATAAGCAGTTACGACGGAGTCAAGCCGGGTACAGGATAGAGCGGTGGTGGTGCCGTCACAGACGGGACGGCTAGGGAAGACTCCCCGAGGAGGGCAACCGTGGCACGGACCCCTGGGAAGGGCAGCGGGGCCAATGCAGACCCCTGGTGATTCCAGGCAGCGGCCACAGCAAGTGCAAAGGCCCTGAGGGCGGAGTGTGATTGGCTTATCCAGGGAGGCTGGCGCTATGAAGCAAAGGAAAGACTCACAGGAAATGGGGTTGGTTGGGGACTTAGGGCCAGACCAGGTAGGACTCTGACTACAGCAGTCAGAACGTTTATTTTATTTTGGCTCCCGGGCGAAGGCGCGTTTGGGAGGGTTCCGATTAGGCCAGGACACGAGAGAATTCACGTCGTTCAGAGATCACTCGGGCTGCTGTGTGGGGAACAGACTGTAGCAGGGCAAGGATGGAAACCGGTAAGAGGTTACGGCCGGCGTCAGACGAAGGACGCGTCCCGGATGGGCTGGGTGCATGACCGACCGACAGGACTGGCTTGTGCCCCGGACGTAGGGTGTGAGGGAGAGGGGTGGAGAGGGACGCCCCCGTTAGAGTGCGTTCCCGAAGGGCCCAAGGTGTGGGGGAGGGGGGCTAGAATTCCGTCTTTCTTTTCATTCAATGACTTTCAATCTCAAGTCAAAATTGGAGAGAAATATCAGGAGAACTTGGCCCCCAAATCTAACGAAGCAGAGGATGCGAGAGACTCATGGAGGGTCTGTCCCCTCGCTGCTTGTGCTTCACGCCTCGGAAACGCCTCTGCCAGCCGGGCAGCCAGCCACGCGGGCACAAGTCTCCGTGTGTCCTTCCGTGTGGCGCAAAAAGACCATCCTTCAGAGCAGGAAGATCATAAACAACCGTAACCAAGCAAACAAAAACGGCTCGTCTCGCCCCTTCTGACTCTTGCGGTTGCTTGGGAAGTACCAGTGCTGACTGTGCGTCCCCGTCTTGAAAGGGGCTTTCTTTCCGTGTTAGGGTGGTTTTCCGAATTACATAGCGAAGCCTCTTGAAATCTCCCGTGTGCCCTTCATAGCTGGTCCTAGCGATACGCTGGTCTTACCTTTTCCCTTCAGGGCATCTGGTTTCGATGGTGACTAATATCTAACCCTGGCTGGTATCACTTGGGAGGACCGAACCTGGTCAATCGGAGAAGTTTGACAACACTACCGCTAACAATAACCCTAAACTTGTACTGAGTGCTTATGCCAGGTGCTTCGTGTGTAACAGTAACTGATTTAATCGTCACGCCGGGTCCTGGGAGGAGGAAGCATTATTCTCCCCGTTCAGCAGACGAGGAAACAAGGTTCCGAGTAGTAGCCTGTGGACGTCCCACAGGCACTGAATGACCCCAGAAGCCAGCCCAGAACCGTGTGACCCACAGTCGGTGCTCACACTATCCAAGTGGCCGACATACTGCCTTCCTGACCCAAAAGTTTTCATAACGTGTCTAATCGTACTTGCGAAGTACTTAGATCATAGTAGTTCTCTGGTTGTGCGCTGACCTTCTCATGTTTCGTGATGCACGCGCATTTCTCATTTGGAGCCGGTGACAGCAGACAGGACCACAGACCCCGAGCTTTCCGGACGGTCACGTCTGACCGATTTTCAAGGATCGGGAAATCTCAACTGTAGCTCAGCCATCTGCCCCGAGATGAACCCTCACGAGTACGTTTACTCGTTTCAGCCTGCCGTGCTAACGTGTTCGGACTCAAATCCTGATTCCTTCACGCAACCCGTGTCTCGTGTGGGCCGAACAGGAGCGCGCTTTCAGGAGCGCGTCCGTCACGTCTGCGAGTGAAGCTGTCCAGGTGTGAAAGTCCGGTGGTTCAAGCCTACCTACACCCAAGGACCCCGTGAAGGCTGAGTGTGCGCGTGGGCACGCGTGTGTATGTGTACGTCCACTCGGGAAGGCTTCATCCTGCCGTGTGCACAATTACACCCAGGTCACCCCCTGAAAGATGAGTCCGCTTCCAGAGACTCTCAGAGACCATCCCATCACCCGGCCAAGGGCTCCACGAGTTCACAAAACACTGCTAACTCGTTAGATTTCGAGTAACGTTCATCACAACGTATATGCTGCAGATACCATGTGGGGTGCCCGGACACAGAGCCCGCAGAGAGCTGCGAACTGAATTCCTCTGCGCCGGAGGAGTTTTGCTTTCGCTGGAAACCTCCGTGGCACGGTGGGAATTTCCACCCGTCGCCCACAGCTGAGAGGAAGAGAGCAAGACCCACCCCGCCCCCCGCCCCCACCATGCTTCATCCAGCCCCGAGTCAGTCTGAGTCAGGAGGGGACCAAGGGCGGGATGCCCCATCATGACACCGGAAAGCCTTAAACAAGATGCAGGGGACATCCCGTAAAATGTGACTGCATCAAAATTTAGAACATTTGTAATAACCAGGGGCACCTGGCCGGCTCAGTCGGTGGAGCGTGCGACTCTTGATCTCAGGGTTGTGAGTTCGAGCCCCACGTTGGGTGTAGAGATTACTTAAAAATAAAATCGTTAAAAAATAAATAAAAAATAAAAATAAAACATAATAACCAAAGACAGCTATAATTTTCTTTAGAGAGAGAGAGAGAGAGAGAGGAAGAGAGAGAGAGAGAGAGAGAGAGAGAGAGAGAGAAAGAGTGGGGGAGGGGCAGAGAGAGAGGGAGACACAGAATCCAAAGCAGGCTCCAGGCTCTAAACTGTCAGCACAGAGCTGGACGCGGGGCTCGAACTCACGAACAGTGAGGTCATGCCCAGAGCTGAAGTCGGTTGCTTAACCAACTGAGGCACCCAGGTGTCCCTGATTACATTTTCTTAACCCAGTGGATTGGGGAAATTAGGACAGGCTGCCGCGACCGAACACTGGTCAGCTGTTTGGGGGGGGGGGGCCTTAGCAGAGCCCCCCTGGAGGGCAAGGATCAAGTACGTCAAAAAAATGCACATGTACCAGGACCCAGCAATTCGATATTCCACAAGGGAGTGCATGGATAGAGATTCTGTGATGTATTGTTGGGATCGCAAACTGGAAATAACTGAAATATCCATCAGCCTGAGACGGCCAGGTGTTCAACAGCATTTACATACAACAGCATAGGTGTAGGGCTCTTTTTTTTTTTTCTGTAGTATTCTTTAAAATAATATTTTAAAGGCCCTTGGGTGAAAAATAAACCCGGAATAAGTACCACGTAGTATTTATACGTATAAAAATTTTTTACAAAAAAGTAGTGTGTGTATTTTCTATAGAGTTATTCAATAGGCAAGATTTGCGTGTAAAATAATTGCTAATAATGCATATCTCCCCTCTGGGGAGAGGAGAGGGCTAGGACTGGGGGTTGGAAAGAGGATCCATGGAGCTGTAAGTAGTTTCAGAAAGTCAGTTGTTAAGGAGCACCTGAGTGGCTCAGTCAGTTAAGCGTCCGACTTCGGCTCAGGTCATGATCTCACGGTTTGTGGGTTCAAGCCCCGCGTCGGGCTCTGTGCTCACAGCTCCGAGCCCGGAACCTGCTTCGGATTCTGTGTTTCCCTCTCTCTGTGCCCCTCCTCTGCTTGTTCCCTCTCTGTCTCTCTTTCTCTCTCTCAAAAATAAATAAAAATTAAAAAAATAAAGTTTAAAAAATAAGTCAGTGTTAAGGGTACTGGCGTAAAAAGACAAGCATGAACATCCAGCCGTGGAAAGCCCCTTATCAGTGCCATGTAACAGAGCCCCTCCACCCCCCAGTCTGGGCTTTCTGAGGCTTTGATAATAAAGTGAATTGTTATGTGGAAATTCTTCTATGAAGCTTCTTGCTGGTGGTATAGCACGTTATTATTATTATTTTTAGTCAATAGGCTTTAACAGCCAGAATTTGTTATGTTGGAAAATTGAAAAAAAAAGAAGAAAAGAAAATCAGTTTGTAAACAATGAACTTGCAAAAATGTACCCATCTTTTGCAAAATAATAAATACCCAAGTATAACAGCATCTGATTCCACCTCCTTCTGTGCTAATTGTACGTTGTCATGACAGCCTGGCCACAGCCAAGTCCTCCGCTGGGCACTGCGCCTCTGACAGGTGCCCTGGGGAGACGCTCTCGTGCTCCCAAATCTTACCCCCACTCGTAAGGCCTTTAGGAGTCAAAGCTGGAACCGCATGTGTTTTCCAGCTAGAAAGTTCTAGGATTCACTGGAAAGGAGCCAGAAATGTCTTCTTATTATAAAATGAGAAACTTCAGGGGCACCTGGGCGGCCCAGTCAGTTAGGCGTCCACCTTTCATGAGATCGAGCCCCGAGCGGGGCTCTGACTGACAGCACAGAGCCTGCTTGGGATTCTGTCTCCTCTTCTCTCTCTGCCCACCCCCCCCCCCCACCAAAATAAATAAATAAGCTTTTTAATGAAAACGAGAACCTTTAAAAATAAACCACCTGAAGAAAACAGTAGTTTTTTTTTAACCGGGGAGAAACTGTCAATTCCTAGTTCAAAGGTAAGAACAACGAGAAATATCCCACGGCACATACCCAGCCTCCGTTTTGCCGGATCCATTCTCCCGTGTGTTTCGTGATGAACTCGGCGACAAAGTAGGAAACCTTAAACGCATCCGTGTCTGGGACGATCCCCTCCTGGAGAAGCTTCTTGATGAGGATGCCCTCAAACGCAAATATAGTCACAATCCTGCCCCAGTTAATGATGCCGTCTTCAAATTCGTTTTCCATCACTTGGTGGAATATCGTCCTGGCCGTGTCTACCGACACCACGTGGAACTTGTCCAGGCACGGCTTCAACTTCTTCTCGACCTCCCCCTGGACCGAGAAGGCCACGTCTTGTAGCACTTGGGATACTCTGCTTAGGTGGGACCCGGGCTGGGGCCCCTGCAGAACGTGCTTCGTATAGTCCCGGGCCAGCGTGAGAACGTACCCAAACTCGCCGTCGGCCATCCTCTGCCCGCTGCGCAGCCCCGTCTGGAGCCTGCTCTCGGGGAGGCGGCGAGGTGACGGCAGGTGAAGGCTCGCGGCCCCCGGCGGGGTGTGACGCACGGCGACGCGTGGAGGCTGGGGAAATTTCCTTTTGCATCACCGGGCGGTATCCTTCCTCCCAGTCACTCGGCCTGGGCCGGGTGTGAAAGAGAAAGTTGACAGCGTGGAGCAGGAAAACGGTTCAGCGAGAGCCCACTTCCTCAAAACGTGAGCGGTGGAGGCAGGCGCTCAAATGTCTCCTGTGGGAGGATGTGGAGAAGCCGGAGCGCTCCCACGCGGCTGGTGGGCAGGCCGGGCGGCGGCCCCCGCGGGAACTCGGCCGTTCCTCGGAGGGTTGCGCGTGGGATTACCAGACGGCTCAGCAGCTCCACTGCGGAGCTCGCCCCTGGTCTGAAAACAGGAGCCCACACCCCCGCACGCGACCTTCACCCAGCGCCGGGGACGGCAACCGGCTCGATTCCACAGTGCGAACGGTCACCGCCGGATAAACGGGTAAGTGGCGGAGCGTCGCTCAGCCGTGAGAGGAACGAGGTAGCGAGTTGGGCTGCAACAGGGACGGGGCTCCGACACAGCACGGGGCCAAGGCAAGCAAGCCAGGTAGGCGCCGTGCTGATTCCATTCAGTATGGGCCGCCCAGAATAAGCGGACCCGTGGAGACAGCAGACTGGGGGCCACCAGGGGCTAAGGCGGGGGCTACTCCTTCCTGGGAACAGGGTGGGCTTTGTGACGAGACGTTGGGGAGCCGCAAGGTGGTCGCACGGCACCATCAGTATACTGGGCACGGCCGCCCTGTCCGCTTGCAAACGGGTCGTTTCACACGATGTGAATGCCACCCGCAGAGAAGTGTCCCACACAGCCACCCAGCGGCTGCCGCGGGTTCGTGAAGATCTGGGAGGGAACTTCCGTCCGAAGCAGACAGAACAGGGGCCTCTGGAGCGAGGCTCTGGCAGCTCGCCCTCGCCCCCCTAGGACTTGAGCACGGGTGACACGGGCGGGCGGCACCCCCTCGGTCTTCCCCCCTGCCACACACACAGCAGAGTCCTGCTCGCACCGCGCTCTGAAATCGGGTAAATTATCCCATGTCTGAGTCAGAAACCGTGGGACCAGACGGGGCTCTAGACTTACGCGCACATAGGTCCCCGGCTCCGGCCTCGCCCCGCCGCTGCATCTCTATGATGGGACGGGAAGGGATGGGGAGGGCAGGCTGGCATTGGGGCGGAGGTGGGACAAGGCGGGAAGCCCGGTCGGCCGGCGCTGTGTGAACGCGGCCCCCTCCCTCTCCCCGCACCTGCCCCTGCACCGAGGAGACGCGGCTTCCCCGCGAGGACGGAGCTGGGCAAGCGCGCAGCGGGACGTGAAGGGCACCCCTATCGCCGTCTGGAGCTCGGGCAGCGGCCTGGGGACCCGGGGTCGGACGTGGCCAAGTGTCTGGCTGAGAGGAGCGTCGGGGACCGAGGGCGGATTTCAAGTCTCCTCAGCAGAGCGCACGGTGGTTCAGGTGTTTGGGGGTCACCCTGCCCCGGCCGGCCGTGCTGCCAGCAGGCGGGAGCCGTGGGGGTTGAAAGAGAGCACGCGGGCAATACGGGGTCCCTGGAGAAGCAGAGTTCACTTTCCATCCACTTGTGGAGTGACCGCGAGCCTTTCCGTCAGTTTCCACAAACCACTACAAACCGGGGGAAATTCATGCTGACTTGTATTTCACGCGGGGACTGAAGGGGATGGTGACAGGGCTCGAGGTGGCCGTGAAGGGGCACCTGTCGGGCCTCCACCTTCAGGAACGTGATGGCATCGGCCCCGCGGCTGCGTCCCGAGTCCCCCCGGCGGCAGGTACATCTGCCCCATAGGCCGCTCCGTCGACGCTCTCAGACTGCACTGCGGGCGAGGGTCTCCCGGCCAACCTCCCTCCTCCTCCCGGCCTCTCCGGCCTCCCCGCTCCTGCCTCCCGCACAGGGTGTCCCCGCAAATCTGAACGTCACACGCCCTGATCCTGGAGTCCTGGGGTGACAGGGGACCCGCACGGAACGGAGGAGCGTGTCCCCGGGAAGGTCCTCCCCTGCCCTCACCACTGCGTCCACTCACCCACGGAGCAGAAGCCAGGAGCAGCGGCCTTCTCCCCTCCGGATGCCGCTGGGCGTCATGAGAACCTCCGAAGGGATGGGGCGTGTTAGGGACCTGAGACTGCCCCTCATACTCCCATGGTCGTGAGTATTTCCGGAAAAGCAGTGTAAGCATGTGCTGTAAGAACCGCAGTTAGGCATTGCAAGGCCAGGGCTCACTTTCTCTCGCGCGCCAGTGCCCCAGCCGCACCCGGGAAGCGCGCAGTCGGTCTTCGGTGAATAAATGAAGGGCATTTATATCGCCCCGGGGGCCAGCCGAATTCAGGGCTCCATCTGCCCGACCTGCATCCACAAAGGTGTTGCCGTAAAGGCTCTTAAATATTGCAGCGTGTTTACTTTATTTCAGAGTTTCCAGGCAAGAACAGGTGGGAGAGAGAAAGACAGAATCTCTACCAAAGAGAATGACTTCTTGTTTTGGAAAGTGCAGGGGGACCGAGGTGGGTGGGCTGGCAGGGTCAGGGACGAGCAGCTGGCCCCGGACTAGGTGCGGACACAGAGGACGGTGACCTCTCTCAATGCCACCCCACTCCGGGTCTGCACTCACCGGGGGCCAGCGAACAGTCCCCTGAGCCGCTCTGTCCTCACGCAGAATCTTGTATGAAATTGGGGGTCTGCTCGGAGCACGCTGAGGGAGTCGGCCAGAATGAGTGGGGCCCAGTTATTCCACAAGCATCCACGCACCGTGTTAGGTGCTACAGACCAAGATTTCTGCCCGGAGGGAGTTTTTGGTGCAGGAGAAAGTAGGCGAGGGTGGAGGCCGCGAAAGGAGCAGCGGGAGGAAATAGTCAGAGGAAGCCCCTTCCTGGAGCCACCCTAAGGCGAGGAGCCAGGTTTGTGGACACACAACGAGGACAAGGTTCTGGAAACGCACCTGCGTCCCACTGATCTGCTGTGGGCCCAGGGGCGGATGGTCGGAGGGAAATGACAGGTGGCTTCCTACATCTGTCCGCACCGCACAAGCGTCCGTGGCCTGACCAAGGCCTTCTCTGTACACGTCTTGTCCGGAAGCTTCCACCAGAGAAGCATGGCGCCTTGGCTCCGGCTGAGGGAAGTATTAGTGTTTCAGAACAATCGGAAGAGCGTGAGTCACCTTAACAACCAACCACCTCTTCCGTTTGCAAAGCACGTTGGGCTGTGGGATTGCAATTGTTGCCACATCCCTGCACGGGAACTGCCTCGTATCTCTCTGCTGTGTTTACCTACGTGGCCGTATCTCCACAAGCGGGTTCCAGCCCATCCGCTGCTTCCCAGGCCAGACCCCAGATCTTGGGGGCCCGAACCAGTGTATTCCCTCACGAGTGTGAAAGCCGGGCTGGCTGCAGTCTCAGGGTCTGTCCGTGCGGTCTCTCCAGCATGGCGACCTCAGAGGGCTCACACGTGTCTCGCGGCGGCTCAGGGGCTCCAGTGACAGGTGCAGGATGTGACGGGCCGTTCGTCACCCAGCCAAGAGCTCAGAGGCACCATTTCTGTCCTACGGGATGGTAGTCACGAGCCCACACCGATTCAAGGAGAGGAAACGCAGGCCACTTTTACTGCTAAGAGGAGCGTCAGAGGACGGGCAGGATGTTCTAAGCCGGCACGATGTGGGCCGCACGTGCGAGATCACGGACGTACACGGTCCCACTCGGACGTACACGGTGGCACAGTGTAGTCGGCGTGGCCCTCACAGCAGCCTGGCAGAGAGGAAACTGACCTGGGAGGGATCCGGGAGGCAGTCTGGAGCCACCCCGCCCAGCCCCGCTCCCACCAGGCCACCGCAGGGCCGCGAACCCCCTGGAGACAAGGTGGCCTGGATCTCATGCCTCCCACTGTGTCATCAGCCCCCTCCTGTTCCGGCGGGGTTCGATGGGGGGCAGGAGGGAAGAGCCCTGAGGTGATCCTGGCTGGCGAGTGGCCCGGGGAACCCAAGCTCCAGGACAGGGCGCCAGTGCGTGACCTCAGGCACAGGCTGCTGAGGTCGACTTCTCTTTTCCCCAAAGGCGGAACCTGTGGGGGAAACTGCTGGGGTTTTGGCTGCTCCAGGAGGTGGCTCGGGGGAGCCCCCAGCCCTGGCTAACTCTTAGCGCCGGAGTGAGTCAAGCTGCGTCCCCTTCCCGAGCCGTGGCGGGAGCTGACTCTCCAGAGAGCACTGGTCTTCAACACAAGGGCAGGGGCATGTGCACCACAGGACGTCTGCCTCCGTCCGTCTGCTGGGGCCACGCCTCAACCATCAGAAAACAACAGAGGCCAGTCTGCTCCGTCAAGAAAAGCCACTGTCCTGGGGCTCCTGGGGGCTCCGTCATTTGAGCGTCTGACTTCGGCTCAGGTCATGATCTCATGGTCTGTGAGTTCGAACCCTGCGTCGGGCTCTGTGCTCGGAGCCTGGAGCCTGTTTTGGATTCTGTGTCTCCTCTTTCTGCCCCTAACCCACTCACATTCTGTCTCTGTCTCTCTCAAAAATAAATAAACATTAAAAAAAAATTTTTTTTAATTAAAAAAAAGAAAAAAAAAAAAGAAAAGCCACTGTCCCAATGTGACGAGGCTCCTGGGGGGAGCTTGTTTTCCATCCAGGGAGACCAATTTCCAGGAAGTTCTGTGAGCGAAATAAGCGGGTAGGACCCCCTCCAAGTCTCCTGCTGTGTTTGGGAGAAAGGCCTAGGTGGGTGCTGGAGAAAACACGGAGCTGGGAAGGAAGGGAGCTGGGAGGCACGGAGGGCTGGAGAGAGGCGTCCACAGACGTGGCTCCTGGGGTTGGATTTTCAACTACGGTTGTAGAGGCCACAAAGGGGATGGAAGTGGTGGGGGGAGGCCAGGGGGAGGTTAAAATTACGAATGGTCCCACATAAGACAGAATGCCTGTGTGCCACCTGGAACACCGCGCTAGTCTGTCCTTCGCACCTGTGCGCTCAGGTGCGCGCCCGGACCAGCCTCTCCTTCCCCGTCTGCGTCTTACTTGGATACCCGTTGCCCTGCTCACGGAGCTGTCACTACCACGGCCGGCCACGCTGAGGATTTTCCCGACGCTGATGTCACGGCTGAAGCTACATCGGTCCTGGCACCAAGTTCCACCCAGCAAAGTGGAAGCAGTCTTCTTCTCTCCCCGAATGTCATCGTGGGGGAAGGTACGCAGGAGAAGAGCCCGTTTGAATGGGACCGTCGAGTGAGTGTGGCAGAAGGCCTCGGACTTTCCCTGCTCGGGATGGAACAGCTGATCTAAAACAGAAAGGGAGGAAGCAGAAGTGTGTTCGGTGACAGCAGGTGAGACCGGGCCGCCCGAGGGCAGCGCTCTGTGCGGAGCAAGAACTCAGAACACCCCGAAGCCGCTGCCTCGGCCGACGCTCCCCGAGCTCTCTCAGCACCTGCCACGGGCGGGGCCCCGCGCGGCATCCAGGGGTGGTGCTGTTAGCAGGCGCTCACGGTGCAAGGGTCTCCCAAACCCCCAGATGTTTCTGCCACAGAGCATTAGGGACACTGGCACAGCACAACAGGACCTGAAGTTCAGCGGGGGGCCAGGGGCGTCCCCGAGAGAAGGCCAGCTTCAAGCTGGCTCCTGGGGACGAATACAGGACCCTCGGGCCGAGCCTGAGCGCAGCCAGGGGGGAGTACAGACGTGCGTCCCGACCCAGCTGGCCCAGCTCTCAGCCACGCCAAGAGCACATGCGGATCCGAGGCCACGGCAGCTCAGGGGGCTTGGAATGGGCCAAAAAGGAACAGGAACCTTGGGAGGTTTTTAAAAATTTTTTTAAATGTTTTTAATTTATTTTTAGGGGAAAGAGTGTGAGTGGGGGAGGGGCAGAGAGAGAGGGAGACACAGAATCCGAAGCAGGCTCCAGGCTCTGAGCCGTCAGCACAGAGCCTGACGCGGGGCTTGAACTCGTCAACTGTGAGATCGTGACCTGAGCCGAAGGCGGACACTCAACCGACTGAGCCACCCGGGCGCCCCTGAACCTCAGGAGGTTTACACAGGGGAGAGACATGGTCAGATCTGTGATCCAGGAGGTACTGTCTCTGCAGGACTGATTACTAAGGAAGACGGGAAAACAGGCTGTTCATCAGTGCTATTGAGGGAGGATTTCCAGACGTAAAAATTCATCCACTTGAAGCACGCCCTTCAGTGAGTTCTCACCCGTGTCAACATCCCCGTCAGCACACGAAGTGTTTCGACCACCCCAAGATGTCTCTTCGTGCCCCGTTGTGGCCGGTCCCCCATGCCCCCCTCTGGCCACGGGCCACCACTGGTCGTCTGGATGTCACGGGGGGCTCCTTTTCCCTGGCCTGAAATCCCACAAACGGGACATCAGTCAGCGCACACGCCTGGCTTCTGGCGCTCAGCTGAACGGCTTCGGTCATGCATGCGGTTGAGAAAATCAAGTTTGTTCTTTTTTATTACTGAGCAATACGTTCTGTCGTGTGGATCTGCCTCGAGGGGTTTATCCGTTCTCCACCCGGTGGTTTGGGAGGTCACGAATAAAGCTGCTAAAAAGCGCTGCACGCCAAGTCTTCCTAGCGGACTGAGTGTTCGTCTCTCCCGGGGAAACATCTAGCGGTGGGATTGCGGGGGCCGCGCGGTAAGCGGCTCATTCTGGTCGCGGCGTCCTGTACGGAGAAGCTCAAACTCCTTGGAAACCGCCGCAGCATGCGCTGAAGTGACTGTGCCACCGTGCCCCAGCCCCGCCACATGTGGGGCCCCGGGCGCCCCGCCTCCCCGCCAACACTCGTGTGGTCCGTCCTTGTAACGTTACCCTTCTGGTGGGTCTGGAGTGACACCTCATTGTGGTTTTAACACCTCTGTGTGTTCACTGGCCGTTTCTGTACCTTCTTTTCGCGAAGCGTCCGTTCAAAGCACGTGTCCGTCTCCTAAAAACTCAAATTGTTCTCTTTACCGAGTTGAACAGTTCTTTACAAGTTCTGGAACCTAACCGCGGCCGCTGAGGTCACGTCGGGCACAGACGATGAGGCCCGAGCCAGGACCACACAGGGACCGACGAGGAGCGGTCAGGAGACCCCGAGCGGCAGACGTGCGGGGTTTGGAGGAGGACACGGGCCGCGTCTGTGGCTCCGAAGGGGCATCAGGGAAAGAGAAAAGGGTGAACTTGAGCCCCAGAGAGCCTGTGGGGCTGAGGCTGGGACAGGAAGGCGTGGCAGCCGTGTCAGCTGGCTCCCCTGCAGTAATGCTGTTGCGTAAGGAGCCCCCCGGCCCCGTGCAGCGCTCCGACGGGGGCTCCGCGTGCCCGCGGGTGTGAGCGCAGCTGGGCAGACGGGGGAGCCGACCCCGGAGCCAGATGTGCACGCGGCTGGGACGGCCCCGCTCTGCCGTCTCCCGTCCCTGAGGGACGAGTGGCCTGTGTGCCACTGCTGGAGAAGGCCGACGCACAAGGGCGTGAGCCCAACACGGAAACGGGCTTCAAGCCTCCACCGCCCCGGACGGTGCAGATCACACGGCCCCTCCTGCAGCGGGAGGGGAGTGAGTATTTGCCAAATAATCGAAGCGTTATGTCCGCCGTGAAGGAGGTCCCTCCCCGGCTCAAGAAAAGACGGGTCTTTATTGAGCTGGTTTTGTAGGAACATGTATCGTTTTGTCCAGCAGCACTTCCCTTTTATTCTGAGGGGTCGTCTGCTCCACAGCCCCCATCACACGGTCCCAGCTGGAGGTACGTGCTCGGCCGCAAACCCTCCAAACCCTGAGTACAGTTGACGGATGGGGCAGGCACCTGACCTCCGCACAACCGAACCCTCCCTCGAGGCTTTAAGCGCTGAAACGCGGTGCGGCCAACACCGCCCTCCCCGGCGCCTAGGCTCCGGCGACAGGGCCGCACGGGCTGTGTCACCCGGGAGAGGAAGTCGGTGAGCACGAACGGAACCCACACGCAGGGAGGAGGGGTGACAGGGACGGAGTGTCCTCGTCGCCCTCAAGTCCTTGGTTCCAGGGGTTTCTCGATCAATTCTTCTTTTTGTCAAAATCAAAATTGTGGTTTTTTATGAACAGGTTTCAAACAAACGTGTCTCCCCATCACGACGCCATCAGGAGAACTCAGGCTGTGGTGTCTCCGAGAACATTCCTGAAAGAAGTCAGGACACAGGTTTTCCGAGAAAACCTCGGTGTTCCTCCCTTCCCACGGCGTGGGATGGTCACCCCCTGACCTCTGCTCTTCCGGGTCACGGGACCACACTTCCCACGGTGGGTCCCATCCTCGTGGTGTGGGTGGGACCATCTGGCAGCCCCCGCCCGTAAGCTCTGCCCCGACAGCAAAGCCACTGGGCGCCCTCCCCGCTCCCCGCTCCCCGCTCCGGGCCTGATCTAGGACGCGCGGAGCTCTGGGCCATCTTCCCGCTCAGTGTGCCTCTCCCACGTGCTTCCTGTGAACCCGGACCCCCAGGGCCACCTGCCTGCCTGGCCTCTCCACCCACATGGTGAGCGGGCATCCCAGATTTCACGTGTCCAGACCAAACTTCTGATTTCCCGCATGCCCCCAGCCCAGCCCACTCCTCCCTCGTGTCCCCATCTCAGGAAATGGCGTCGCCATCCACCGAGCACAGAGCCCGGGACTGTGCCTGTCCGCTCTGTTTAACGCGCGCGCCACGTCCACCTGATGGCACGTCCCGACGTGTCACCTGGCGGTGTGTCCTGACAGCGCTGCCTCCGAGACGTGTCCCAACCCGAGGAGGTCGAGTCTCGTCCCGCCCCCGTCACATCCTGCCTAGACCTGCAACGGTCCCCCGACGGGGCTCTGCCCGCACCCTCCTGGCCACGGTCACCCAACCACACGGTGCGGGCCGCCCAGCCTTACTGCCTCGCAGGCGCTCGGCCAGGCAGACAAGGAGCGCGAGCAAGAGCAGGGGGTGGGGGTTCCCGGAGGGAGTTCCGAGTCCAGTACGACCTCAGTAGCTGCCACAGCCTGGGCCAGGCGCCTCTCCCGCGCGCAAATCTCGGCCGTGGCGCCTCGTCCTACCAGGCGCCACGCTGTCAGGCGCGGGCCCAGAAAGCCGAGGCCCCCTTGGGACGACGAGGCGGAGCTCTCGGGGACGGTCGGCACCGGACGTCTTCAGAAGAGCGCAGACCGGCCTTGCGGCCTCAGAGGAGCTCCCTTCCGCGCTTCCTGCCACGGCACGAGGCCCGTGAGTCCCCGGGCACAGGTGAGGGTCACCCTGCGGCCTCGTGTCAAACCCTTGTCTTACCAACCTTCAGAGCCAGGAGCCGAAAGTCAACGGTGCCTTGCCTTGGGGTTTGCCGGAACGAACCGCGCTTCGGCGAGGTTTTTGGTGCACACGGCCCATTTGACTTGTGTGTGTGTGTGTGTACGTGTGCTCACGCACACGTCACGCAGAATGTCCCACAGTGACCGCTCGTGATCGTACGTTCACTGGCAGTGACCACATCCACGCTCTTGCGCCACCATCCCCACCGCCCGCCCCCCGAACGCTTTCATCGTCCCGTGCGACTATCGCTCTGAGCCGCTAAAATGATAGCTCCCCGCCCCCACCCGGGCCCCGGCAGCCACCATGCCCCCCCCCCATCCCCGTGAGTGAGCGGCGCTGGCCTGCCTCGTGTACGTGAACTGCGGCTCATGTCCCCGAGCGCGGTGTCCTCGAGGTTCATCCGGGCCGCCTCCTGTGTCACAACCTCCTTCCCTTTCAAGGCTACGCGGTATTTCATCCCGTGTGTAAACCACACTTTGTGGATCCCCTGGCTTGTCGGCGCACGGCACCTCGCGTGCGCCTTCTGGCCGTAGCGGGAACCGCTGGTGTGCACGTGGGTGTGCAAGTATCTGCCGAGTCCCTGCGGGCGTTCTTTCGGACCCACGCCCGTCAGCGGAGCTGCGGGCTCACGTCCATCTGAGGTCGTGAAGGACGTACCGGTTGTGAGGGAAGGAGAAAGGGGGGACGGAAACGAGGGCTTGTTACCGAGACTCGCTGAAGGCTTTGGTTTCGGGATTGCTCCCCCTCTGCTCACACACGCCTCGGGGCACACACGCGCTCCCACGCATGCACACACACGCACACCCACACATCACGCACGCTCAATACTCGCACATACACATGCACACACGTGCACACGATGCACCCACACCACACACACACGTGCTTACGCGTCACGCTTACACTCGCTCACATGCACATATACATGCACACGCTCGTGCTCACACATACATGCACTTACACATCACACTGACACACACACAGCCCCTGTGAACGTGCTGGAGCCTGACTGTGAACCAACCGACTGTAAGGAAAATGCCCCTGACCAGACGTCGGCAACAACCTCACAAACAGTCACGGGCGACCCCTGCTGGTGCTGCCGCCTGGGACCCGAGGGGACCTGAGGCACAAGCCAGGTTGTGAGGACACTGGGATGGAGGGATTGACGGTGTCTGGACTTTGCCAACTTCTCCGTGACTGCGCTGTCCTCGATCCCTGTGACCCCACTCCGTGATCCTTGTGACCTCTATGTCCACGATCCCTGTGACCTCACCGTCCCGATCTTGGCCGTAGGAGGGGAGCCCCACGAACTGCTGTGGTTGATCCTCAAACTAAGGATGAAATACTGAGGGCCGTTGGACACATGGACGCCCTCACCAGGCCCAGGCTCTTGCCTGCCCCTCCGTTCACGCCCGGGCTCCCCTCCCCCCGCCCCCGTTGGGACGCTGAGCGGGCCGGGACCGTGGGGGCAGGGGCCCCGCCCGCCCCCCCGCCCTCAGGACGCTGCTCCAGCGGCAAGAAAGGCCAAAAATCACTCCCATCAGGCCCTTCATGCCCAAAGGCTTCTGGAACGCTGTGTCCCTCACTCCCCACGTGGTGGGGACTCCCTGCACCCTGGCCTGAGTCAGAAGCCACCATCGTGTCACCAGTGACCGGATCTGTAAAGGAGACTGGATGCCCCCCTTCACAAAGGCACCTGCCGCCTCCAGCAGGGACACGACCCGGCAGAGAGAGGGGCCCGGGCTGCAGTGACGTCCCGCCTGCTTGGAAACATGACCCCAGTCTCTCAGGGAAGCACAGGTGATTCTCAGCAGGAGGACCCCCTGTCGATGCGAGGTGGTCCCCCACGCTCTAAGGACTGGGGGTGCCCCCGAGTTCCCCCGACACCTTCCTCCCTCCCAGCGGCACACGGCAGCTCAGGGTCCTGACCGCCCGGAGGGAATGCTCGGACCCGGACGTAGGCCCAGCGCAAGCTCGGGCTTCCTGGGCCCGTTTTCCTCTCTGGACCTGTCTTTCCACCTGTAACCCCCTCCCCACGTGGACCAGAAGAACATTTCCAGATTTTCTCCCAGCTCCCCAAAGACACGGAGAGCCAGCAGGGGAAGGACAGAGAGGGAGGGAGAGAGAGAGAATCCCAAGCAGGTTCCTCAGAGTCAGCGCAGAGCCCGACGCGGGGCTCAGTCCCACGAACTGTGAGATCGTGACCGGAGCCAGACGCTTAACTGACTGAGCCCCCCGGGCGCCCCTCCCCTCAGGACTGCTTCCACTTCAGCAAAGGGAACGCGAGGTGCGGAGCAAGACGGAACGAGAGGGGCAACGGGTCAGACGCTAGCGACGAGTCAGGGGTGCCCGGCGGCCGTCCACGCTGCCCCATCTTGCAGGTACGAAGATTCCTCCTGGGCACAAGTGTTTTGTTGACGACAGAAGCTCGGTTGCACTGGAGTATCTTCGTGACCTCGTTCTAATCGTTCTCATGAAGGTGACTTCCAAAGGAAACCCCCCTCCTCTGTCACCCCCGGAGCCCCTGCCTCCGCGCCTGCCACAGACAGCTTCTAATGTCGCGCCGGCATTAGAAAAGCTCGGGGGAGGGGGGTTTCCAGAACCTTCTCTTCCCACTTCCCATTTCTCGAGTCATTTGAACTATCACATATGTAAAGAAAAATGTCACGGGCGGGGAAAACACAAGCTCTCGGGGCCTGGAGGAGGGAAAGCCCAGTCCCCGGAGTTGAGCCCCCCTCTTGGCACTTGGTCCTGGGATGGAGGGGCTGGTGGTCAGAGGTCCGTCCCCGTGTCATTATGGGGACCGTGCCCGGTGGCCCCGAGGAAGCACCAGGGCTCCGGAAAGTGGTCTGGAGGCCACGTGGCCTGTGCTGCCTCCTCACTGCTTGAGAGCTGCTCGTCAGTACAGGGCCACCTGCTCGGGGGTCCCCCCACCACAGGGAGCTTGGGGCCACTGGTGTGGACCCTCTAGGGGAGATGCCTGCACCCCTTTTCCCACAAGTAGAGGGGCCGGCAGGATACAGGGACTCAGAACCCCAGACAGAGGGGCCCGGTCCCAGCCCCTGCCCTCTCTGGCCCCGTCCCCTCCCTGCCAGCCTGCTGGCTCCCGCCCACACCAGTGAGGGCTTGTACCCCGAGGGCTCGTGCTGGTGCGCACGGCCGGCCCGTGGGTCCCCAGCACAGGACCGCAGGCCGCCTGCCCGGGGCCCCTCCAGGCTCCGAACAGCACGTGCAGGCGGGAAAGCCGCTGGGGTCACCGGCCGCGAAAGCGCCAGCTCCGGCTTTGTCATGTTTCCCCGGTCGTGAGTTTGAAGCAACGAAAGCCAAGCACGCAGACCTGGGCCATGTGGGTTTTCAACGGGCCCAGAAGGAGGCCCTCCCGAGTAGGACTGCGGGCCTCGCAGGAGCGGGTGCCAGGGGCAGAGGAGAGTCAGGTGCTGGCCCCAGGGACGTCCCAGGCTGGGATGCGGGCGAGACAGAGAGAGAAGCCACCGGAAAACCAAACAGACAACAGGGACTGTCATGGACTCTGAGGGGATACAGGCATGTTTGAGGGAAACGGTATTCGCTGCACCCCTGCGTGGCCGGCAGTAAGAGGTACACCTCCTGTCACCTCCTGTCACCTCGGTGTCACGGTGTCCCCTGGTGTCCAACACCCAGGACTCGACAGGCCTCACAGCCGACGCAGCAGTCGGAATTAAAATCCAGGACCGTCTGACTCCAAAACGCACAGGTGAGATGCTGTTTAGACTCTTTTTCAATTCACACGTGGACACGAGTCATGCAAACATTTGTCAGCTCTGTTCACCACGACCCACGGGCAAGGTTTCGGTGTCACCGCTGACCGTGGTCACGGGGGCTCCCAGAGGGCACCCGTCGCCCAGGACGACATGCCTCGGGGCCCCCAGTGGGACACAGCAGAAGCAGGAAGCCCTCCGTCTGGTACCTGCTGTCGGGCCGAGAGGCTGACGCTCAGACAGGCTGCTGGGCTGGGCGAGGCCGCTGGTGGGTGGCAGAGGCGTCCCCTCCCTCTGCGGCCACTGTGCACCCCACCAACGCCCCTCGTGGGTGAGGGACCCCCTCGCCTGCGACGCCTCCTGTGAAGCTCGGAAGTTCCCACAGGAGATCCCGCCTTCGAGTCGCTCACGGCAGTGACAGTGACGGGACGGTGTGCCGTGTGCGGACAGACAGGGACACAGGCTGGGCTGGAAAGCCTCCCAGATGAGACGGTGACGGAGCTGACACTCCAGGCTGTGTGGAATTTGCCCAGAGAGACAGCCAGGCGGAGAGCTGGGCCCAGGGATGGGCAAGGTGCGGGGGCTGTGAGCAGCTCGGCAGAAACCAGCGTCCCGCAGCCGGGGACCGAGGCAAGACCTTATCCTGTTTGCGGGGGGCTTGAAGCAAGGCACCCGCGCAGTCACATCTGCATTCTGGAAAGAACATTCCGGAAGCAGGGGCGAGTCCGGGTGGGAGAAGACCAGTGTGACGGAGGTGGGGTAGGATGTGCCCGTAGCCGGTGACACATGCTCGGGACCCAGACAAGGCAGAGACCACTGGGTGGAGAGGAGCAGGCGGTGGACGAGAGGACTCAGGGAGCAGAGACACAGTGGCCAGTGGCAAGGGCATCGGGACACTGGAGGGTCACGTGGGTCAGGGACACTCGTGCTGCAGTGACACCCAAGAAAGGAGGGCACGTTTGGTGGGGAGGAGCAGGTCTGCCTGGGGCACGGCGCGGGTGGCGCGTGGATGGGGCACTCACGGGGGGCAATCCGGTGGGTCCGCGGCTCAGGAGAGACGTTGCGGCTGGACATCAGGACGCAAGGATTTGGGGGTCATTAACGCACTTCCAGTTCCAGGGTCCTGGGAGCCGCTGAAGTCACCCAGGGAGAAGGGGGCTAGAGAGGCGGTGGGGGCGGTGCCCATGGGAGCCTGACGCCGTCTGTGAGCTTGCGGAGCCCACGCAAGACCGAGAAGGCGCAGAAACCGGGGGCGACTCACGGACTCTCCAGGGTACCTGAGGGCTTCCCAAGGGCAGCCGGGCACCGAGCTCCAGGGGGGACCCTGCTTCACGCGCGCTCTTTCCCGAGGTCTCCTTCCCCTCCTGCCCCGCACCCCCGGCCTCCCTTGGTGGCGCGGCCCCCAGGGGGTGCAAACCTCCAGCAGAGCGACAGCTCACAGGGTTGGTGTCTCTGCGGAGAAGGTGCTAAGAAGAAACCAGCCGAAAAACTTCACCTTAAAGACAATCCGGGGACGGATCACTATGTGCTTTTGGCGGATTACCGACCGAATGGCATTTGTACAACAAAACCCCTTTCGCTCCTGCCTCCTTAAACAGTAACAAAATGGTTCTCGGTGCTGACGGCCGTAAAGGACATAAAATAAAAAGGCAGATGGGGAGGAACCCTCGCAAAAAGGATAGTCATCCACGGATGTACAGCGAAGATGAAATGATTTTTAAGGCCCTATTTGATTAAGAGATTTCCAATGGAAGGG